TTTGAGGTTCAAGAACACACTCTTTTACATACATTGGTTTTTAAGCAATCAGGATTCAATACTTATTCCACCAAAAATGTAACTCCTTCTCAACAGTGAAGAAGCTCATTACCAGATATGAACTGTAGCTTGAGAGCATAAAGCAAAAACAATCATTTCTATGCCCCACTGGTTACCATAGGAGACAAGACAAAGATAGACAGAAGATGATGCTTGTCTTGTTACTACTTCAAAATCTCCCACAGGCAAGAAATCATTAATATCTAGAACTCTAATTGTAAAGAAATTAAATACTTGTCATTATGAGCAGAACAAAGGGTTCCTAAGAAAGGGATAAAGATAAATAAATATTGTTTACCAGTTAATCATAGCCAAAACAAAGTTTCATTTTCAAAACTTCATTTATTATCCTTTTTCCCAAGTAGTTCTCATCTTTCTTAAATGTTCGATTTAATTGATACATAATATGCTATGAAGGCATAAACTTTTCTAATCATATAGAAAATTATGCTCTTGAGTTACCATTTAAAGGAAATCTTAAAATATCTTAGTCATACTAATAAAAGTTAAGGTAAAAGGAAGAGGAGATTGCTGGAATAACATTGTCTCTGACCTTAACCAGGGAATGGGTACTGTTCAAAAAGGAATGCCACACAAATGTTACCATGGCAAAACTGGAAGAGTCTACAGTGCTACCCAGCATGCTGTTGGCATTGTTGTAAACAAGCAAGTTAAGGGCAAGATACTTGCCAAGAGGATTAATGTGCATATTGAGCATATTAAACACTCACAGAGTCGAGATAGCTTCCTGAAACGGGTCAAGGAAAATGATCAGAAAAAGAAGGAATCCAAAGAGAAAGGTACCTGGGTCCAACTGAAGCGCCAGCCTGCCCCACCCAGAGAAGTAGACTTTGTGAGAACCAATGCAAAGGAGCCTGAGTTGTTGGAACCTAGTCCCTATGAATTCATGGCATAAGCTGGGAACGTAGCTCTGCCATGCAGCACCTAATTAGTGGCTGAGGGCCCTAAGCCTTACTTCAAAATAAAAAATCATCCTGTGTTGTAAGGATGGCTTTCTTAATTGAAAGAAAAAAGAAAATTAATCAGCTGATTTAAAACACAGGATCCTGAAAATCTATTAGCTAGAAACTTGTCATTTTACCATTAAATTAACAACAGACCCTTATGTTGATGATCCTAAAGCATAAAACACTTTCTACTTTTGGATTTAGTTTTCCTCACATCAATAAGAAAAATATTGTTCTACTCCCCCTCTGAGTTTTCATTCTAGACACAAGATTTTGATTCAAATTAATTATCATATAAGAAAGAATTTCAAATACTATATATGCATATAGACCTATGATTATCCACTTATCTACTTAATATAAAATTATTTTCAACCTGATTTAATTTTTCCCTGATCTTACATATAAAGTTCAAGTTTATTTAAAACTTAAAATAGGGATTGTCTCAGACTAATGGAGGTAAAGAGACTTTCCATGCTGGCATGATTTGTAGGACATCCACAAACTGATTCTAAAATCTAAGTGGAAAGATGAAGGCTATGTCATAGCTAAAATAATTCCAACACAGAAGAATAAAGTTAGACTAATCACTCAGTCAATATTAAGTCTTACCACAGAGTGATTAACATTCCTACCACAGGAACCTGAAAACAAGCTGGAGTAGCTATCCTGTTTTCAAACAAAATGAACTTTCAGCCAAAACTGATCAGAAGAAAAGAAAGTCAATACATATAAATTAAGGGAACAATTCAACAGGAAGAGATAACAATTATAAACATATCTGAACTGAACAATGGCATACCCAAATTTATAAAACAAACACTAATGGGCAAAAAATATCAGAAAAATACCAACATAGTACCCCAATATCATAAATAGATCAAATAGACAAAAAAATCAACAAAGAAGTATCAGAATAGAATCAAACATTTCAACAAATGGATTTGATATATATCTATGAATTGTTATGCCCACCTTTCCACATCTGGTTTACTTAGAATTTTCTTTACTCAGCTCTTTGCTTAGAGGATTTCTACTCATTCTTCAAGTTTCATGCTAAAGATGATGTAATAGTTAATTTTCCATGTCAGCTCAGGCTATGGTGCCCAGTTGCTCAGCCAAACACCATCTATGTGTTACTGTGAAGGTATTTTTTGGTGTAGCTAATATTTAAATAAGTAGACTTTGAGTAAAACAAATTACTATTAAGTAAATCTCATCAATCAGTTATAGGTCTTAAAATATAAATACTAAAGACCCCAAAAGGAAGGAATTTTGCCTCTAGACTGCTTTCCAACTGGAGACTACAATATTAACTCTTCTTAAAATTGAGCTACTTCCTTAAAATCTGCCACTTTGTGTCCACATCTGTCTCTGTCTTTCTCTCTCTCTCTCTCTCTCTCTCTCTCTATATATATAT